TTCCATAATGCTTGATGGGAGGGGGGGGGGTCTTTCTATTTTTGGTTTTGGATAGAGGGGGAAGAGATAGACATCATAACAGATTTTTATTTCTGCCTGACTCAATCCAATTTGAATATACAGCAACACCGACTTTTAAGGTACCCATTCAGGTACAATATTATGTACAAAAATAGAAAATGTATTTGCATAGATACCACAATAAAATAGTGAAATAACATCTCTATGTGGAAATAACAAAAACGAACTCCACTGAAACAGATTATGCCTCTACATATCCCCATCTGATACTATTTCACAGCATTAGCATTGAACGTCTTGTTTGATATATCTCACAATATATTTAAAAATGTGTCTCAATATTGTAAGATCACGGTGGGGTTAACTCAACGTGTCCGCTTCCTCAGGAGTCTTTGATGAGGCACCATTGGGGTATATTGAACATCAAGAAGTATTTGACAAAGGTGTGTGTGTATATATACTGTATATATATATATAGAGAGAGAGAGAGAGAGAGAGAGAGAGAGAGAACTAGATTCAAATAGTAGAGCATTAAGGACACATCCACTCACTTAAATCTTCCTTTTAGGGCTTAATGTAATGATCCGTGCAAACTCTGCGGGAGGTATAGGATCACAACTGCGGAGGTAAGCGTGAATGGTTCAGTTGAAGGGTTCACTGTCACACTTTAGTGTAGTGAGTGAAGTCGGAACCCCTTACACATCATATACCATTCTGATTGCAGGAGGAATTAAATGGTAGAGGTGAATTCCCACAACCCTCAATTCTACAGCATTGGGGCCTGTTGGGAATTGTAGTTCTCTCCCCAAGTTTACTTCACTAGGGAGGTCAAAGAGACAGTAACTCTATTGCATATAGTATTTAAGACAGTCCAGAGGAGAGGGTAAGGCAGTTTTAGATAAGAGAGTTTAGTGTGCATTCACTACCCCTAACCTTGATGTCAGTAGGTGCATACAACTCGGCAATTGATTACAGCATGTGGTAATGGCTACTTGCTGTTAGGTGGGAAGTCCATTCACAGGATGGGAGGCTGTATCCAGGCTGCCAGAATCCAAGGGGTAGATGTGGAGGTCCAGGCTGAATCCAGGCTGCCAGAATGCAAGGGGTAGATGTGGAGGTCCAAGAGGGGTTAGCAGGATACCCAGAGAGCGGTACAGTTTAGGGTCCTAAGTAGCTTGCTCGACGTACTACTTTGCTAGAACGTCGAGCAAGTGAAAGCCTACGGTTTAAATAGGCAGAGCAGGTGATTGGGGGGGCGGAGTCGGAGACGAGACCCGACCCGAGCGTCTCCTAGCAACGGGACGCCGCTGGGCCGGGCTCGCCGCGTCATCACGCCGACTCAGCTGTTCGGCAGAAGGAGGAGTGGAGCGCGGAGGAACGCCCGCCCGTCGCCCGGCAACAGGACGCTGTTGACGGAACCGTCCCTGCCATGTTCTTGGGCTACGGAGCGGGGTCCGATCCTGACACTTAATTCCCCTTTTTATTAATGGAAAGTTCCCAAACAATAACAGAATTGCCCTTACAGGGTTTTTTTTTTACATCTCTCCTCACAAAAAACATACATTCAGCCTCCTGGATTTTCTCTTGCAGTGCCACTGCTCTGACCTCAGTCCTTAGGCTCTTGTCTATCACTCCTCCAGACAGTACTCAAACACCGTGCTAACCTGCACACTTTGTAGCTCCCTGGCACACTGGCCTCCGCTCTAACTCCTGAGTGGAGCCCAATGGATTCCTGGGCAGAGACCTCCTCTGTCTCCCAGGTGGAGCTCTGAACACTCAACACCACCCTTACCATAAGGGCTGTACACAGCTGCACGATCAATAGGTGCTGGTCAACATCAAAACATGGACCCAGGGTTGGAGGCTTCATCCCACCCCCAAGTATCTCCAAAGCTTTTGTGTTCCAGGGCCCTGACCAGAATTTATCAGTGCTAGAAAAAAACTGAAAAGATAGCTTTCTCCCTCTGCAATATGCATCCTGGAACTTCTCAGCCTGCATGGGTAAGAGCCCAGGGTTTCCTCTAGCCACTATCAAATCATATAAGTTTTACTTCATCAAATTTAGTGTCTTACTTAATTATATAATTGGAGTCACCATCACAGTATGTTCAAGACAGGTGCCTGTTATAATACCAGGGGTGAGCTTAGGAATATATATATAGATATATAGATCTATATATAGATCTATATATCTATATATATAGATCTATATATAGATCTATATATATCTATATATCTATATAGATATATATATATATCCAAGGAATCCCAAATATTAGTATTATAGCATTATGTTAATTATTTATGGGGTGATTATAATTCATCATATGCCAAGGAACCGGGACTATCAATTACATTATTACCTTGTATAGGTAACAAAAAATGCTGCCTGACTCAATATCACTGGACCGGAATTAAGAAGAAACCTCTACAATGGAAAGACGGACAACGATATGGCTCCTCTGTGCTGGTTAGCTGGCTTGGAGTGTTGGATGCTTTATGTATGGTTCATTTACTGTGACTTGCAAGACCTGTGTGCACCTATCACCATTTTAATGACTTGAGTAGGTTGCACTTTTTTCCCCCCTCTTTTTTTGTCATGTCATATGAGGTTGTTCTAATTACATCTTTCCGTCTCGAGCCTATGGCCCCTTTTTAGGAAACTGTTATTACTTTTCACTTTTTACTTATATGACATGTTTGTTACTTTGTATCCGCCGAAACTGGTTATCTCGCCACCATCACTCAAGAAGCCATTAAACCGAGAAGATACAGAAAGGCATCATGAAGCAAAATGAGTTTATGGATTAGTTATGAGAAACAACTTTGTTACCGAAGGGATTGTTCGGACGGAGCGTTGTGTAATGACGCGGAAAGATGAAGCTGACTGGAGCGGCATGATTTGCTGTTCGCCCTGCGTGGCGGGTCTGCGCCGGGGCGCTGGTGGGTCTTGTCATTAAACCAAGTTGTGAGAGGCCATGAAATTCTATGACTTGTTAAATTGGTATTGGGGAGGGTGGAATTTCTTGAGTGGAAGACAAAACTCACTAGTACTTGATATCAGGCTATAAACGCTTGCTGTGTCTTTGTTTTTAAAGCTGTAGAAACCCTTTTCGGAGCAAGTCACACTTTGGCCTTTCCCTGCCTTTAAACCGTTTCGCCTCACCGCGGGGAATCACAAGTTCAGGTCTCATATCAGTCTAAGTCGGTTTGTGCAGTTCAAATCACTCATCATTAAAAGATTGTTGCCTCTTCACTACATTTATCCCACATTCACACCTGAGCAGAAAGATTTCTGCCAATTTTGGAGCTTTGTTTTTTTTTTGGGCACACTTTTAAAGTGTTTTGCAAGCACTTTGCATTTGTACTAGGCAATGGAAAGCAGTTTTTGAGGAGGGCAGCAGTTTTTCTGCTTGTGTTGCAGGTTTCCAGGCGGCTTCATTAACGTCCACGGGGCCAAAAACGTCCGAAAAAAACTGGTGTACCTTTTTGAGATTACAGCTTCAAGTGACTGAGCAATAAAAGTGAGAATAACCACAAGAGAAGAATGGAATTCAGATGCTAAGCATTGTTTTGCGTAGGGAAATGCATAATAATATGCATTGGCTTACCTCTACACAGACTATCCCCCCTTCAGGCTATCATGAATGCTGCTGCCAGACTTATCCACCTTACCAACCGCTCAGTATCTGCAACCTCCCTCTGTCAATCCCTGCACTGGCTTCCAATCGCCCAAAGGATTACATTCAAAATACTAACAACCACTTACAAAGCCATCTACAGCTCAGCCCCAGGTTGCATCTCCAACCTTGTCTCAAAGTATCACCCTAACCGTCCCCTACGCTCCTCCCAAGACCTCCTGCTCTCTAACTCCCTTGTCAACCCCTCCCTTGCTCGCCTCCAGGACTTCTCTAGAGTCTCCCTCATTCTTTGGAACTCCTTACCCCAACCTATCCGTCCATCTGCCACTGACTGCATTTAGGTGATCCCTTAAGACTCATCTCTTCAGGGAAGCCTATCCCGCCTCAACCTAACCACTGAAATATCACTTTCTCAAACAATTCATCACCACACAGCTACATCCTCATGTATCACTTGCCTATCCCTTTTAGATTGTAAGCCCTAGCGGGCAGGGCCATCCTTACCATCTTGAATTGTATTGTAATTGTAATGTCTTCCTTATATTGTAAAGCGCTGAGCAAACTGATGGCGCTATAAAAATCCTGTATAATAATAATGCATCAAAACTCGCAGGTGTGAATTGGCCTTATGGAGGTTCTCAGATACTCCATATGGGGGCAATTCCAGACTTCTTTGGATTCTTTTAACCGTGCTTTATGGCAGATGCCCAATCTAAATGCATTATACAATCAGGGGGATGCTGTTTGCCTTCACATTTGTTATCAAGGCATGGGAATAAGCTTGACATGTTCCTGTTATAGACTCTCCAGTCTGCTCTTGAGATCTGCAGCCCTCTCCCCAGGCATATGGGATGCTCTATTTATAAGCGATGACAAGAATCCTTTAATAACTGTATTGATTATTATATTGATACACATATAATTCCCTCCTGTTGTCTCCTGATGAAATGGACCATCGATCTAAGAAACATGTAGCCCAGGGGTGGGCATTTCTAGCCCTCCAGCTGTGCTTTTGTTTTTGTCTAGGTTACTTAAAAAAAAAATGTACTAACTTCACCCCCGATCCCAATTTCGGTCCACCGAACCTGCCTCCATCCATTGGTTGCACTCAGGTGTCATCACCTACAATGCCGGACCAGCATTGGTGCCCTGGACAAAAAGAAGCATTTAATTGGTGCCCTGGACAAAAAGAAGCATTTAACCCTTGGAGTGTGACAGGAGCACCACTGCAAAGGTAGTTTTATAAGGTCTCCGGTAGCTTTAAGGAATTACTTTTTACATGTGTCAGGAGTTTTTCCCTCATTGCTTTAAACTGACTTGCGTTTTCTCTTTATGTAGACTTCCAGTGGGTACAGGGAGATGTGTGTGAAGTTCAGTTGATGGTTTACAATCCTATGCCCTTCGAACTACGGGTAGAGACCATGGTGAGTTTCTGTTTTATTAGGCTACTTATTCTATGTAGTACAAAGTGTACCATTTCTTTTTAATTATTTATTCAATCTAATGAGCAGTGGCAGAAGTTCCATTTATTTTTGTTTTGTGCTATAAATTATCTCTCATAGACTACCCGCCCCTCCTATCAGAAACAGGACTGTCTCAATTTTACACAGGCTGCAAATAGGCATGCAGGCAGCGTTGGGCTTGATAGAGATTTGTTCATTGTTTGCAGTGTCATGGATAAATCCTGTAACAACAGTTCAGTATTCTCCAGACTTTAGGAGTGTTGGACTGTGGCCATTGGCCATTAGAACATGTTTCAGGTTCTGTTGGCAATAGGAGTGAAAATGTCCCAGTATTGGTTGTCAGTAGGAGTAAAAATAATTATCTAGCTTGCGTGGTCATTGGGAGGAAGAATAATGCCACATTGTTGGTGTCAGTGGGAGGAATAGTGCCCCATCATTGGTATCAATGGGAGGTACACAGTTGTACAGAGCATGTTCGGCTGACCGAAGGAAGCCGATGTACGGCTGATTTTAGCCAATATAAGGCGTTGGGCTCACTTCACTTCGGCTCGGTTATTCACTCGGTTGCCTTCGGCAGCTTTGTGAATAACCCCGGAAATCTCCATAGGAATAAATAAGCATACAATTCCATGCGCTGGCTCAATCGGGAAGTTTTTGGCAAGCTGATGTTTGGTCTCAATATCTCTTTCCATCGGGGGGAGTATAGGACTGGGAGGCGGGGCATGTGATGGGGGCTATATCCTGATATAAAACATTTATATTAAAACTTTTAAAATGTAAAAAGTTAAAATAAAACTGACTGATATGATATAAAACATTTATTTGAATACTTATAAAGTATAAAAAGTTGAAATAAATTTGACTGAGAACCATAAGAGTTCACCATTAAAGGGATTCTGTTAAGTGAGCCCGGCATTCATGTTTAGCGGACCACCTGGGAAATTAACATGTCTCCGGGCAGTTGAATCTTGCCTGCATGATAGATTGTCCTTGCATGTCTATGGCCGATGTTTGCGACCATATCATCTTATATTTTACTTCTTACCGACGCCCTTACTTATCGGCTCCACGTTTGAACAGAGTGATGGAATACGACGGAGACCTGTTAAGCTAATAATAAATAAGCGCCTGGCCCCGCTTCTATATCAGGCGGGTTAATTTCAAGCTCTGGGGCCTCCTGATAAAGCTGCTTGTCAGGTTTTATGGTGTTTAATGATAAGTGCGGGACCAAGCTTTTACCGGAGATACCTATCCTGACGCATCTCTGTATACGGTGAACAAGAGAGCGGTTAATGTAGCGGTCATCATCATGACACTTTTATTGTCCTGTGTTGTCTTCAGAATCCCTCGGTGACCTCCTATTCCTAGAACTTCTAACCAAGTTAAAATAATGCCCAATAAAGCAGATTATCTCCAGCAGAGGCTGTTTATAGCCTGCGGTCCTACCCCCTTCACCCCCCGGAGGGGCCCAGCGCGAAGCCTCAGATTGCAGACGTCATCAGTCTTAATGGCCTGGTAATAGATGTCATTCCTTGTTATAGCTGGTATAAGCGCTTCCCTTGCCTGTGTCTGTGACAGGGATGGAAATATCACACAGGGGGTCACAGTGACCAGGGAGATGGCTTCATTGACATTGTCACCAGAGTCCTCTGTAGATATTTCTGTTATTTTTTTTGGTCATTTTTGGTATTAACCGCCGGCGGGGAGGTCTGTTTTCCCATCTCGCTTTTTGCCGTTTAACTATTTGCTCGCTTGCAAATTACTCTCCGTCCGCAGATGAAAGTCCTGGATGAAAAATTATTTTCAGTGCAGTTTTGATAAACTGGGGTGGGGTGGCAGAAAGGAAATGTATAGGGGCTTGTATGTATTTTATTTCTTTATTTATAATGTTCAGGGCTAAAAATAAAGTATAAGCTATTTTTTTTTTTTAGTTTGGCAAATATAAAACATTGCATATGAATATGATCGATTTACACAATTTCCTTTGTGTCTTTTGCCCCTTTGATATAAAGCTTGTTGTTTGCAGAACTCAGTAGCTCAAGCTTACATTTACGCATATCTTACACATTCCTTATTTTTCTTTGTCATTGTACTGAACCTGCGCGGCTCTGCCTCTGACGCTTTCTGTGTACAGTATGTGCCGCTCCCCTGTCTATACACATATGTGCACCCTCACTGTCTTTCCCGCCTTCACTTAAAACGCCCTACGGCTGTCATCTTCTCTTCCCGTGACCGGACTTGGGGTCCCTGTGAACTAGTCACATATGGCCAGATACCTCTCCCTGCCTAGCAGTTGGTTTTGTGAGTACTAGGGATGCTGATACCGTGTATTTGGGTGACTACTCATACTCGCCCAAATGCTCCCGATGCTTATCCGATATTGGAATTTCCTGATTGGCCAGGAAGCCGGCTCAATGCTCCCTCGTTACCCGGGAGCATGGTGCTGGCTTTCCGACCAATCAGGAAGCCAGGTGGGTAATCACTCGCCCACGACTTCCTGATTGGCCAGGAAGCTGGCTCCATGCTCCCTCCTCACTTGGTACTGAGGGAGCATGGAGCCGGCTTTCCGGCCAATCAGGAAGCCAGGCGGCGTTTAATGACCTACTGCCCGGCTTCCTGAATGGTTGGGAAGCTGGTCAATCAGGAAGACTGGCGGCAAGTCATTTCCCACCCCCGGCTTCCTGATTGGCCAGAAAGCCGGCTCCATGCTTCCTCATCACCTGGTGACGAGTGATAATGGAGCTGGCTTCCTGGCTCGTCAGGAAGTCAGGCGGCGAGTCATTACACGCCATCCGGCTGCCTTAATGGGACTTCCAGAATCAGTATTCGGTAAGAAATATCGGTACTCGATGCTGAAAAACCAGTATCGGTGAATCCTTAGTGAGTACCCTCATAAGTTCCTGCTCTTCATATCTGAGATATGTTGGATCAAAAGAAGGGCTGCTTGCAGTGCCCTTTGCCTTGGGCCTGACTCATGCACATTGGACAGCTGTCTCCTGCTTGAGTCTCCCTTAGTTCCTCAAGGTGTGGCTCCCTCCTCTGCTCTATCCAGGGATAACTTTTCCCTCGGAATGCAGGGAATGCACATGAAATTCCTTGCATTCTCCTCCAAAATCTTTTTCTGATGCAGCTGCAGCAATATTTGTGTATGATGTTGAGGAGTGGTCACTTTTGCTTGCCTGAGGATGGAACCGGATAAGGTTCCGAAACTTTGCCATACACCGTGAGACCACCTTGATCTTGTCAATAATGAAGATTTGACGCAAGGAATTTTGGAGTGCCAGTGGTTTTTACTTTCTGTTATGGATTGACTGGCGTTGACATCCGATTCCACTGCTGCACCCCCCTATAACCATTGGGTTTTGATTCCGGTTAGGAGTGCGATGGAATATGGACATATTTGCTGATCACTTCATGTAATCATCTACGTACTTGATTTTGCTTTTACCTGTAATTTTGTCAAATTGATGACGGGTCCACATTAACATCAATTACGCAATTGCATTATTATTGTTCCGCTATGATCTGCAGTCCTGTAGCCCTAGCGCTCTAAGGCCCCCGTCCTGACAATTTCCTGAACCGCTGCCAGGTCTCGTTCACCGAATCCTCATTTCACCCGCTCCCCTCCCGCCGCTTGTCAAGCAAAAGTGGACGTTTTGCTGTTTAATTAGAGCAAATCGTCTTCCTGGCGCTCCCAACAAGAATGAGACTTGGTAGTTCTTTACCAGTTTTAGAGGGACAGATGATAAAATGTTAGACATATCCTTTGTCAGCAAACCCAGCGTGAGATGCTCGCTGTTTTTAAAGCTGTTCGTGATGTCGGAATAATGTACACACAAGGCCACCATCATTGTTCTATCAAAACTGTAAAAGGAAACTATTGTTCTTGTCACTAAAATAGAAGTAAACCCCAACTGAGCGACATTGAGTTTCTTAAAGCACCGTGTATCATCATGGGCGTCCTGAGGCCGGGTGTCCCTTGGAGCGGAGGCTGGGTGTCACCCCCCCGTGACATCATCGCGCATGTGCGGTCATCTAATTGACGTCTGCCGGCAGCCATCTTAGTGATGGGCGCTGGCAGAGAGAGGAGGGGTTGTTCACTCGGCGTGATGTGGTATGCCGCCGGGTCCCCTCATCTCTCCTGACACTGTCGGGCTCTCGGTCCATGACCGAGTGCCCGACTTTTTAGAGGGGGTGACACCAAAATGACTGTCAGTAATTTTGGTGTCACCCCTCCAATGGTGTCACCCGGGTGCGGGCCGCACCCCCCCCTTGTGACGCCACTGTGTATCATGTACAGTTGCCATTTTTTTCAAGGCTAAGTTTACCTTTCTAACCATGTGTCATGTTACACTCATATTCAGGGTGTGACATGAAATAAGGCCACAGCCAAATTGCATTGTAAGACTACAGGTATGACTCCCAGAGGCCGAAGCATGTTGGGATTTGTAGGTAATGCACAACTGGAGGGCTGGAGTTGCCCATCCCTGCCATAGGATCTTTTCTATTTTTGAATTTGGGGCGGCTCTGCTTGGCTTCGCCCGCTCAGTCGTGTCAATCATTCACAGATCCATTCACAGCAGTAGAGAGACTCGTAGATCTTAATGGGCTGCAAGTGCGGTGACGTCACTGCACTTGTCTTTTGATTGCATCTTACAGCCCCCGTAACCAAAAGTGCATAGCTCAGTACGGACAAGGGCTGGAGGAACAGTCTGCAGGGGCCAAAACATAGCACCCTTGATTCACTGATCCATTGATCGCTATTGCAATGCTTTGCAGGCTCCGTTAACATTTTTTTTTTAAAATCAGTGTGGTCGCATTCATACATTTTTTGCAAAAGGCGGAATTACCCTTTAACCCAAAGAAGCCCCAATTATCTCCTTCCTCCTCTTCTGCCCTTGAAGTAGCAAATTGCAAGCTGTACTTATTTAGTTAGTTCCCCCACACCCTTTACAAATGCGGCAAAAAAACCCACAAAAATGCCTATAGTTGAAAAAAGTTAATTATTTTATTATTTACCATATCTGCACTTCTGCCCACGGTGCCTAGGTGAGGGGTAACAGCAGCACATGCCGAGTGAGAGTGGCCATTAGGAATCAGCCTACCTGGCAGGGTTTCATTGATCATAGAGCAGATCAGGGAATGGACGTTCTTCGGTCTGCTCCTGCTCTCCACCCTGAGCGGGGGACCCTGATAACCCCAGTGGTCGGGGGGAGCGGGGATAGCACGATCATAGGCTAGTACAAGTGATCTGGGTGGCTGCACAGCTGCCCAGATCACTTGTAGTTGACATGTTGCACAAGGAGTTCTCATTGGGGGAAGCCCCTGCTGGACCCCCTGTTGCCTTATAGAGGCCTGTGCCTGGGAGGGCTGGCCCAATTGGCGGCCCTGTGGTAAGTAGCTCAGATCTTGTGAGAAGTTACTACTACACAGTGCTGTAGCATCATCTCCCAAGATTTGTAGAAATTGACATTCTCTGGGATATCGCCCCGAAGGCTATTACTGATGTCACGGAAGCCAGGGGAACGGTAAGCATTCTAACTCAAATTTCCCCCCATGGGTTACTTTTTTTTTATGGGTTTAAGGTGGGGGAGGGAGGGGGACCCTTACTAAGGTCGGCTTTAACTAGCATTTTTAGAAGGAGGTAAGCAATGGAAGCCTCCTGGTTTCTCTGATGACAGGTGCTCTTGAAATTGCTGTTTAATGATGGTGGTTTTCTGGTTACATTTCAGGGTCTTCTGACCAGTGGCGTGGAGTTCGAGTCCCTCCCGGCCGCGCTGTCACTACCTGCGGAGTCCGGCCTCTATCCAGTAACGTTAGTGGGCGTACCTAGAACCACCGGCCAGATAACTGTCAATGGTGAGTGTTTACTTTATATTTAGAATATCTCAAGGCTTCAAAAGGAGGAAAGCACCTACCGGTTAGGGGTCCATTCATTTCAACCAGACATGGAGTATGTTGTCCTTCTCTACTTAAGTAATATTAAACTCTCAGACTTTATTTCAATAATGAATCCAGATCAAGCAGATATACATCACCCAGCTAAGTATTTATTTATATTTTTTCCCAAGCACTTACAGTCATCATGTTTCTGAACAGCTCCAACTCTCTCAGCTCTACTTCCCTGAACTTCATGTCCAGTACAAGATCACAGGGGACAGAGCAGCAGCCGCCCATCTACTAGACTGGAGAAGGAAGGAGGGAAGAGCAGAGGGGACAGGGGTATCTGGCCTTGCTGTGATTGTGGATGCACACATATCTCAATAGCACATAAAAGGGAGGCTCCATAGCACCCTTCAAGGGAAAGGAGCCACCCTAACACAGAATATCAGGGCCAGTGCTCACCACAGACACGGTCACCCAGGTCGACGATGCTGAACTGCATAACCCATATCCCCCCTCACTTCCAGGTGCCATTGTAACCAATCAGTGTTATTCCCTTCACCTCTCAGTGGTCATCTGTGGCTGATTGGTGTTTGCATGTATGTATGTATATATTTGCGTGTGTGTTAGTGTGTGAGCCCGGTCCCATCTGCTACCGCTGCATCCCTGGTAGTTCTCATGAAAATGCCAAGTATCTGCACTGGTACTCGAAAAGTATCTGTGCATCCCTAATATATATATATATTTATATGTATATTCATGGCTCTGCCTATTATCCTAAAGTGCAACTCATCTCTGATGGAAGAGAGGCCTGCATATACCTTCTGTTTTAGGAAGGCTCTACAATGTAAAACATAAATGTTTTTTTTTTCTAAAGTGCCCCGAGATCTTATTAAAACGCCTTTTAAAAAAAAAGAGTGGTCCCCGTGTACCTCTGAATGGTGTCAGCATCATGAATATATACAGAGAAGAGAGCTGCTTCTTTCTTGCCCCGCTTCTCTAATTGCCGATTGCATCCACCTTTCTAGTATCTGTTTACGGCAAGCCAGTAAAAAGCAAACCGATCTGTCACGGTGATAGCGATTTTAATTAAAACCCAAAAATATACATTTACGCTCAAATGTATCAGGATGTCTGACATCGGTAATACAGTTTTTAATGGGGTAGCTACATTTTCTATTACTTTCTTTGAGTTAATGCCCTTTAAAGTTTGTCAGGAGGAGACGATCATTTACACTCTAATGTTCCAGAGTTTTACAAGATAAACACACTTTCAAGCCAGTTATTTTTGATGGGTGTATTTTTCGGGAGTTTAATTCATTTTCGCTCTGTTTTCTGGAACTTGAGAGTTACAAAGTGACGCCCGTATCTCATTGGATGCTGTGAACAACATATTGGCATTAGTTGTTCTTGTGGATTGCATTTATTTTTATACTGCAGGAATTAACCCTTGCAGTTGGGCAACCCTTGCACTCGGTGGCGTCACAAGGGGGGGTGCGGCCCGTACCCCGGGTGCCACCATTGACAGTCATTTTGGTGTCACCCCCTATGAAAAGTCGGGCACTCGGTCATGGACCGAGAGCCCGACAGTGTCAGGAGAGAGGAGGGGACCGGTGGCATTCCTCATCCCGCCGGGTGAACGTCCCCTTATCTCTCTGCCGGCGTCCAGCAGAAAGATGGCGGCCGGCAGGCGTCAATAAGACGACCGCACATGCACGATGACGTCATCACGCACACACGCGGCAATGTCACGCGCATGTGCGATTACATCACGGCGGGGTGTCACCCGGTCTCTGCTCCGTCACCCGGTCTCTGTGTTCTCCGGACAGTAAGTGGTTAAAGTCAAGATGGCTCTGGCAGCGAAGGGGTTAAAGCTGAACTCCGGATCTACATTATGGTTCCCCCGATCTTCTGTCTCCCTGAGTTGAGTTCCTGCTCTTAGTATTTGTAATTAGAAAACGGCTAATTGGATGTTGTCACGATCCAGCCAAAAGGGAATGGGTTTGGATCATTTTGCTCGCTTATCAGACACATTTTTACATTCACGGCACAAGTCTGCCAATTATTATAACAATACAGCCGGGGAATGGTTCATTTAGAATGAGCAAAGCATCCTAACAATACAGCACGGGCAACATCCAAATGTTAAATTAGTGTATTTCCCCAGCAAGGGGTCGTTCACACCAACCGTGATATGTGTATCAGCCAATACTTGTCTTCTAGATTGGGGGAATTTTGGGGTTCCTGTGATAACTGGCCAGCATGCTGGTCGTTTTCTGAGGACAGACAGCGATACCTCATGCATTATATAGCTTCCCTTGTCCCTGTACCACTCAGGAGGTACAACCCAATCCATGTCAGATGTAAGAAAATAATTTTCAATTACTGGTGACATCATTAGTAATGGCCAAAATCCTTGCACAGGAGGGTCCTGTGTGGCGCCGTATATCACTTTCCATGGAGCCCCATACTGGACAGAACTACATTTCCCTTCAATTGTAGGGACATTTTTGGGCAGAGATTTTTAGACATGTAAGCTGCGGAAAAATGTAGTTTGGTTATTCATGATTCGGTTTCGAAATTCAATTCAGTTCGGGTTTCGCATTCAGATGAAATACGAATTTTCGTTAGTTTCGGATGAGTTTACGAATATTTGTTGCGACTACCACTGAAAACCATCTACAGATATTAATACTAAAGCTGAGGCTCCCAGACCCGAATGGTATTTGGGAGCTCCCGAATGCAATTCGGAAATTCGGATCTTGACTGTCGTTTGTGTCTGGGAGCCTCAGCTCTAGTATTATATGTGTATACTGAACATGAATTTTCCTTTCGAAAATTTGTGTTCGAACATTTTTGTTCAGATTCGAAAATTTGTGTTCAGGTCCATTCGGATGCATTAAAATGAAAAACACATCTGATGGGCCAGGAAAATCACACGTCCGATTCAGTTTAGTTTTTGAACGAAATTTGTACGGGATCCGAAATTCGGAAACGGAAATTCGGATTCGGACACATTTGGATGCATTGGGATTCGGAATTTCGGATTTTGGAAAATTCGTCCGAATTTTGATTCGGAACAAAACGAATCGCTCATGTCTAGTTCTTTTTATTTACTACAGGTATATATATTGCACCAACAATCTACATACTGTACATTCACATACAATGGCTGGTGGGCGGGGCCGGCAGGCGCTGTTTATAGCTTCCTGAACATATCACAGCAACCTGCCTCTGCATTCCTCTCAGGAGCCCTCAGCCCTGATGCAAGCTGTGGGTTGGCTCTTGGGAAGAGTTATACAAATATCAAAATGCCTTGATGGGTGTCAGTCTGGAGGAGTAAGTGTTCCTAGGTAGATTGCATTTGCATGTAGACTGCCCTAGGCAATAGCCACATGTGGGGCTGAGCCTCCATGATTGAAAGAACTGAATTCCAATGAATGAAAGGGGAGGGGCCAGGGGCAGACGTGCTGGGCAGGGAAGTGCTAGATGATGCTGAATGTCCTCCAGCCAGGAAATGAAGCGGGCTCTATGTGACTTTCTGCAGCTTCTACTGCACATTGTGAGAAGCTCCCAGTGTGCAGTGACATCAGAGAAAGCCATTTCAGTCCTGGAGAGGAGCCGGTACAACTGTGCAAGACTGAAGGGAAGTCCGGAGGTCATATATAAGACTGGAGGGAAGGACGGAGGTCAGATAGAAGATTGAGGGGAAGGACGATGGTCAGATATAAGACTGAAGGGAAGTCCGGAGGTCAGATATAAGACTGGAGGGAAGGACCGAGGTCAGATAGAAGATTGAAGGGAAGGACGGTGGTCAGATATAAGACTGAAGGGAAGTCCGGAGGTCAGATATAAGACTGGAGGAAAGTCCGGAGGTCAGATAGTAGACTGAAGGGAAGGCCGGAGGTCATATATAAGACTGAAGGGTTCCGCTTTAAAAACTCCTCTAGATCCCCTTTATTTAAAAATGTAGTTTCCAGCCTGTCTAGTCCAGACTGTTTCTTGTGGTTGTGTTAATGGCGGGCTGTTGTTCCAGGTTATCACACATCTGTATTTGGAGTGTACAGCGACTGTCTTCTTGACAACCTTCCGGAATTGAAGAACAATGGATGTACAGTTGACGTGATCCCAGCTCTGCCCCGCCTACAGATCAGCACGTCGCTCCCCAGGTGAGCCCGCCATGCTCCATTTTGTAATTTATAACATAACAGGAAAGGAAACTCTCCATGTTGTAAGTTATACTTTAAGCTTCAATTCCCCAGCTAACATTGGGAAGTGACGGCTGCGTCTGATTGGATGCTGTGAACAACCTATTTGCATTAGTTGTTCTTGCGATTTACATTGTATACATTTGTGACCTGAATATTTAAATCCCAGCTCTGGGCTCTGACCTTCAATCAAGATTCCTTCCCCCCCAGAGTATCTCCTGCCAGTGTTTTATGCTTTTTCACTTACCTCTTTCCAGATGACTTCAGGCTGGTCATGTGACACTCTGGGTCATCTTCCTTTTTGCCTCTTCTCTGGTGATGCGGCATCTTTGAATATGCTGAGAGTGGTGCTGACGTAATGGGGTCAGCGCCACTTTCTGAATCACTATGCTGTGAATAAAGGGCGCCGTGGTGATGCCGCCTTAAGAGGGTAGGTCTTTGATGCTAAGCACTCATAGTGTGTCCTCTGTCTTCCTCTAACCCTAAGCTGGAAGACTGAGGACATCTTGTGATGAAAAGGGGGCAGCACCGGAGAGGAGATTTGTCATGCAGACCAAGCTGCAAAAATTTGGAGGGGTCAGAACTGCTGTTGGGTTTTTATTGCTGATTGTGTCCCTTCTGCGTAAATTCACTTCCTGTATTTGTTCTGGTGACCATTGTCATAGGACGAGTGAGTGATGGACAATCCGACATTTTTCTGTTGTCACCCCAACAGGAGGTGAGGGGTTTTCTTCCAATGGGGCCACCTGTTCTGGAGATATCTGTCTGAATTACCCCTCAACCTAGACAGATTTTTCTCTCAATCCCTGTTGTGTCTCTGGAATGGATGGAAATTTCCCCTAATGGTACACAAGCAGCAAAAATAAAACAGACAAGAGGATGCAACCCTCCCTATTATGGAAATAAACATGATGATAGTAAAAAAAAGTTAGTAATTTGACTGATTCTGTGTCTACTAACATTGGTACTCTTATCCCTCCAGGTCAGCTCACGCTTTGCAGCCATCCAACGATGATGTGTCCACCCACGTATCTGTCCAGCTCTACAACGGAGAGACACAAAAGGTTCTCATAAAACTGGAGAACATTGGCACCGAGCCGCTGGAGACTCTGGAGGTGTCCTCCAAGATTGTCAATAATAAAGGTAGGTTTCTTAAAGCTGAACTCCAGGGGCAAAAATAAAAAAAAGATTTGCCCTTAAGGTAGACCCCCTCCACACAGCAAGGGTTAACTGCTAGTTTTGCCTAGGGGGCGATGGATAAGGTGCTGTAGTTCCTTGCTCATGCAGGCTTCCTACTCTTCCCCTTCTGTACTTTGAAGTCTCGTCTCTTTGCTCCCCGGCCGGTCACAGCTCTCTGATGTCATTGCGTAAAATGCAGGACCAACAGCCCTGCATTGCATGTAAGGACACCGAGGGCCCATACAGTTGAGAAGAGCACTAGCTGCCAGGAGAGCGAGGAAAAGGTAAGTATTTCACCTTACTCATCATCCCCTAGGCAAAGCCTGCAGTTAACTCTTGCAGTGAGTCCCCCTCCCCACTGCAAGGGTTGACTGCAGTAAAAGTCTTTTTTTTTGCCGTTCAAGTGTCTATTGAGAGTGGCCAGTGGATAGGATTAGGGTGTTTAGGGGTTAGCGTTACTGCCCACTGTCAGTGGAAAGGCAGATGGCACGTCTTGACAGCCCTATAGCTGTCATCACAGTTTTACTTTAGGGGTTGTTCACACCATGTCCATTGAGCTCTGTTTTTCGGTACACCGCTGCACATGTATGGCGTGAACAAGGCACATAGAAAACAGTTGTGCGGTGGTGTCTAGAAAAACGCATGGACATGGTGTGAGGAAGCCCTAAAGCAGGGGTGGGCAAACTCTGGCCTTCCAGCTCTGGTGAAACTACAAATTCTATTAAGCATTGCAAAACTCTGACAGCCAGAGACATGACTCGCAGATGCATGATGGACTATGTAGTTTTGACACAGCTTGAGGGCCGGAGTTGGCCTACCCCTGGCCTAAAGCCTATCTCCAGCCAATTTTGGTTCCCCCCCACCCATTTACACATTAAAATTGTCCTTTCTGATTCTGTCACCACATGGCCTTCCATGGTGCCTCTTTGGAGACTGGTCCAGGCCAATCCTTTTGCTGCCACTCATTAGGATGGCACCCTGCTGCTACTGGAGTCTTCAGGACCCTAGGGGGACCCACCAGTAAACCCAATGTGAAGCCCCCAGGTCACCAAGCAGTAATGTGGCCACCCATAAAAAGCACCCTCCCACCATGCAGTCCAGAAGATAGAAGACTTGGTACTCACATGACCATGGATACAAGTAGGTGTTTGGGCCATATTTCAATCTACTAGGACAATAAGTTGCAGGTCGGGGAAGGGGGTCCATGGCCAGACTTCCGCTTTAAGGATGAGTCATACAATTGGAGGAACAATATGTGTAAATGGCTTCTGCAGAGATTGATATTTTCTGTTTTCCTTTCTTTTAATTAAAAACAAAGCAGAATCAATAAAACACAATATATGTGATCAATAAACACATTATTTCAGGTAATATTGCAATATTTTCTTTAGAAGAAAAAAATAAATAAATCTGTCACATTTGCCGCTCGGCCTGTTTCCTGTCATAAAAAATCCAGGCCCCTTACCTTCACCTTCTTTCCATAAATGTGTATAGATTGATATGCAGCAAGGATCATCGTGTCCCAACTGCAATCTCGCATTTTCAAGAAGGCATTAGACTGAATTTTAATGCTCTCTGTTCTCTTCTTAACTAATTGCCCAGCGCGGCGTGTGACGGGGACCGCGAGCGGCGCCGTAGATTCTACAGCGGAGAGGCCGACTTACTTCTCGCCCGTATATTTTTATAAATATCCTCCCCATTCCGCCTGGGTGAACACCGCGTCTCCCACTGATGCTGCTCTTCTTCCACCTTGTATAACTCAGGCTTTTAAAAGCAGAATTAATCCCCGCGGGTTGTCGGACTTACCTGATCAGGAAACCGCATTAGTCTAGTCCCGAAAGATTTGCGTTTGCCGAGATTGATGGGCGCCTGTAATTTATCTTTTCAGCCTAATGGTTCGGTTTGCATTAGCAAAGATTGCATGGGGAAAAAAACACGGAATGAAGACAGAAATCTTCTTTGTGAAGGACTTCGTATAACAACCAACTTGTTATTAACTCAATGGTGCCTTGAGATGGAACTGCTGGCAAAGAGCTACACTGCCTGTTAAAAAAAAGTCATACGCTGCAATATTTAATTGGACCGCCTTTAGCTTTGATTACGGCACGCATTCGCCGTGACATCGTTTCTGTAAGCTTATGCAATGTCACAACATTCATTTCCATCCAGAGTTGCATTCATTTATCACCGAGATCTTGTAGTGATGATGGAAGAGTTGGACCTCTGAGTAAAGTCTTCTCCATCACGTCCCAAAGATTCTCAATGGGGTTAAGGTTTGGACTCTGTGGTGGCCAATCCATGTGTGACAATGATGTCTCATGCTCCCTGAACCACTCCTACAGAATCTGAGCCCGATGAATCCTGGCATTGTCATCTTGGAATATGCCCAATGTGCCATCAGGGGAAAAAAAAAAATCCATTGATGGAAAAACCTGATGATTCAGTATATTCAGGGGGGCAGCTGACCTCATTTTTGGGGCACATAACGTTGCTGAACCTAAACCTGACCAACTGAAACAACCTCAGATCATAACACTGCCCCCACAGGCTTGTATGTTAGACCCTAGGCATGATGTGTGCATCACTCCATACTCTTCACTTCTTACCCTAATGTGCCCATCACCCTGGGACAGGATAAATCTGGACTCATCACACCACATGACCTTTTTCCGTTGCTCCCGAGCCCAATCTTTATATTCTCTAACAAATGAAAGCCTTTTTTGGGGATTAGCCTCACTGATGAGTGTTTTTTTAAGGCTACACAGCTGTTTAGTCCCAATCCCTTGAGTTCTCTTTGCATTGTGCGTGTGGAAATGCTTTTACTATTAACCGCTTTAAAAAAACGGCCGGCCGGGAGCCTTCTGGATGTAGTAGGCCGTGTTTATACGGCCTGTTAGCCCCGCCCACTGGTGCACGCGTGTGGGAAAGACACAAAATTTTAAAACAGGCAGCGATGCCTGTTAACGTACTAGTGATCCGCCTGCACTCGGCCAGACTGAAAGACAGACCTATCTTTCCACTGCAGTTACTCAAGTGCATAGCACCGCACTGATTTTGAAAAAAATGTTTTGCATTGATTGAACAAATATATTGCAACACTCTCAATGGCATATTAAGGCCCCATTCACATGGGGGCTGTTGCTGCGTTCGGTACAGATACTTGTTGCAGGAATTGTAGTTGTGCCCATTCAGATGCAGCCACTGTGCCCATTCAAAGTAATGACAGGGCGACAGCAGCCACATCTTTCAGTGGCAGTCTGCATGTAATCATACATGGTGCGACTACCTGCGGTTCAGGATAGAAGATTGTTCCTGGATGCAGGATAGATTAGTTTACAGACAATCATCTGCCTCAAACCTAATGTGATCATACCACGCACGATGATAGGCTTACCGAGGTGGCTGCTGTTGCCCTGTATTTTACTTAAATGGGCGCAGCAGGCGCATCTGAGCGGGGGCAGCTGGGATTCTTGCCGCAAGATCATATGACAGGGTGGCAACGCAGGAGAACAAATGGTAGACAGGGCCAATGCATTGTCACTCTATTGCAGGAAGCTCATGTACAGCCTTCACAGCAGGATCACCCGGCCTTATATGAATGAAAGCTGCAAATTTCAAAATATTGATACACAAGGCTTGCCAGTTTGTGAGGGTGTCAGGAACGTGTGTGCATGTGAGCTCCTCTCCTATTCCAAACAAAGCTATTGCTAAATGCATTGTACTTCGTATGTGACAGGTCCTCTTTACTAAAGGAATACCAGGTAGCCCCTTATCCTATAAGGCAAACATTAAAGTGCACAGCCGATCTGAAGCTGCCAGTATATCAGCCCATTTGTAAAATAAGCCCCGCAGCATAAAATACATTCCTGATGATTTGGCCGCCCGTAGCGGCTCCCCATGGCTGTTGGTAGAAGTCCTTATGTTTGTTGCTGTGGACAGGTGCAACACTCTCTCACACTTGTAATTAGCTGATTACAGGGAGGGAAGGTGCGGTGTAAAGTGCTGATAACAATGGAGCGCACCGTCAAAGGGTGCCGCTTCACCGAGCCAAGACACCCCCCCTTTTCCACCCCGCCGAAAACAAATCTCTTGGAGTAGGTGACATCCTGCTGGGTGCTGATAACGCTTGTTAGCAGAGCCGCCGAATATCAATTTTCTGCGGCTTATTCTCTGCGTCTATTATTTTTTTCCTCTGGAGTGTATACATGTCTGGTGTGTGATTGGGGCGGGAGTGATGCTGCCTCTTGTTTACTGTCCTTCAGGGGTTTGTTTTATTCCAGGAAGAAATGCTTATTATGTTCTGATTGATGGTTACCCTTAAAACTCGTAGTAGAGGAAGATAATGGCCGGGCCGTGCTTTCTCATATTATTTCTAACCCTCAGCGAACCGCAGGTAAGAGCCAGTTTTCCAATATTCAGAGTATGATGCGGCTTGGTTCCCTCAGTTGTAGGGAATGGAAGGATTAAAAGTAGGGATGCACTGATACAGGTGTTTCGGTATCGAGTACGAATACTGATATTTTGGCATGGAGCCGGTGTTCTGTCGAAAGCTCCAACTCCTCGAGTTCTCCAACTGCCTGGCTTCTGGTTTTGGTTCTGGTTAGAACTAAGGGGTTTGGCCGAGAAGACCACCCACTGCATTTGCCTATACACATACTACACAGCAATAAAATATTAAAATTAACTAGAATCACAGTAATCCAGCACGTTATTAATCTGAGTTGCCCCGCTCAATATAGCCGCCGCTTGCAATTAAATTGAAGAGGGAAGCAGATTGGTTACTATGGGCCACTGCTTCAGATTTTGTCTGCTCTAGTTTCGATAAATTCCCCCCTCATTAGCTTTAATGATTGGAGACAATTGGATCATCATGGCTTGTAAAGTGTTCTCTTCCTATGGATTCTGTGCCTTGATCCTCATAGCTGTATGTCTGTGTGAGGTCATCTAAGGCACTACTGCCTCTGACTTCTAGCCTCACCATTTAAATTTGGAGAGCTGTAGAGCAAGGATCTCACTGCTTCTGCTCTATTCATTCTGTAAGTCGGTGCTTCCTCCACCTCCCATGCTGCATCATTGCCACACCAGTCATCAGATTACCAGTTATCAGGGAGGCAGTTCACGAGGAAGCAAAACCCTGCTTCTACCAAGATGGCTGCCTCCACACAGAGACACAGTGGTGAACAAGTCATGCAAATAAGATAATATTCAAGAGGGGAAGGTCCTACAGCCACACCCATAAAGCAATATGTGGACAAAAGAGACCGTTCCGAAGCCAAAGGGCTAGAGGCTGGAAGTCATGGAGGGCTTTTTAGGCAATTATAAAAACTTCACAGACACTTAAAACTGTGTAAAAATATCATATTTTATTAAAGACATTAAACATATGAAACAAAAACACACAGTATATGCATATTGGTGCTCAGCCTAAACTTGGTAAGCATAAACCTCGTATACTCATATACAGAGATGATGACAAGTTATGATCAGTGAGTTCTTAGTTGGAATCAATGGGCGGTTACCGTTGTAGAAAACCCTCTACGCATTTCGCCACAGCCGTGGCTTCATCAGGAGGAACATATGATGTGGGTGATTGTAACCATATATCAATATAGCAGCAGCTATTGTCCCATTGGAGTGAGCAAAACGGGACTGCAGAGGCTTCAATAGTCACAACCTTGGTTGCCCCTAGGTGGAAGTGGACCGCAGGAGAAAACCAAGCAACGAGGAGAGGACTGCAATGGAGATGTTGCCTGTTGATTCAAATAGCATAGCATGTGCGTCGAAGCTTTCCAAGATGAGCAGCAAATGCTAAGCTTATGCTAAGTCAGTGATAGCAAAAGGATCAGCTGCAGGGAGACCACAGTCAATAGTGGTGTCCAGTCCTATGCCCTTTGCGTGCCGTTTTTGGCTACAGCTTCCACTGTACAAGTCCTCTTGAAATACAAGCGGTGAAACTTTTCTTTGGATTATTATTTTTTTTTTTCCATCTTTGTTGCTTGAAATTCTAAGTATCTTCCTTGTTTCTGCAGATAAATTGTACGGTGATTTCCTGACGTGGGATCTGGAGCAGACGCTCGCTCAGCTGCCACTGAAGCCGGGAAAAACGGCCACTTTCACCATCTACATCAAAGTGAAACTTGACTTCTCGTGCCAGGAAAATCTCTTGCAGGATCTCAATGATGGTAAGATCTGTGCACCTATGTCGCTGCATGTAAATAGTGTTCCTTTCCTCTATGTGTGTTAGCTCTCCATAGAGACATTTCATATTAATGGAAACCTGTGCTGAGGGAAATACAAACACTGCCCCTGCTAACCTCTCCTTCTGAAAATGGTGGTTGCTTGGCTGCCATTTATTGAATTTGGAAACGTATTTAAAATATCATCTACAACGGGGTAGACAAATGTACATGGAACTCAGGAGCCAGTCTGTCCAAGTCGGGAGCCAATGGGATTTTTTTTAAGGGCTCTATTGGTGACAACAACTAGAGAAAACCTCAAAAGTAAGGCACCAGGTGGAGTTTTTAAGGAGCATTGGCTACCTGGCACCTGGGAATCAAATGTCTACAAATAATCTTAGTAAGAGCAGCATGAGCGGAGCACATCCTAATAATTGCCACCTAACCATTACCTCCTTCTGTAGACGTTACCTTAAAACAGCTTTTCTCAACCAGGGTACCTTGCGACTTCCTCAGGGGTGCCTTGAAATTTTATGATGGTAGGACTCGGATGTGAAGAGGGGACTGAGGACCCTGATGGGAAGAGGGGACTGAGAACTCTGAGGTGAAGGAGGGACTGAGGACTCTGATGTGAAGGAGGGACCGAGGACACTGATGTGAAGGAGGGACCGAGGACTCTGATGTGAAGGAGGGACGGAGGACTCTGATGTGAAGGGGGGACGGAGGACTCTGATGTGAAGGGGGGACCGAGGACTCTGATGTGAAGGGGGGACCGAGGACTCTGATGTGAAGGGGGACTTAAGGACACTGATGTAAAGGGGGACCTGAGGACACTGATGTGAAGGGGGACTGAGGACTCTGATGTGAAGGGGGACCTGAGGACACTGATGTGAAGGAGGGACTGACGATTCTGATGTGAAGGAGGGACTGAGGACTCTAATGTGAGGGAGCGACTGAGGACTCTGATGTGAAGGGGGGACTGAGGACTTTGATGTGAAGGGGGGACTGAGGACTTTGATGTGAAGGGGGGGGGGGGCTAAGGACTCTGATGTGAAGAGGGGACTGAGGACCCTGATGTGAAGAGGGGACTGAGGACTCTGATGTGAAGGGGGACCTGAGGACACTGATGTGAAGGAGGGACTGACGATTCTGATGTGAAGGAGGGACTGAGGACTCTAATGTGAGGGAGCGACTGAGGACTCTGATGTGAAGGGGGGACTGAGGATTCTGATGTGAGGGAGCGATTGAGGAATCTAATGTGAAGGGGGGACTGAGGGCTCTGATGTGAAGGGGGGACTGAGGGCTCTGATGTGAAGGGTCGACTGAGGGCTCTGATGTAATGGGTCGACTGAGAACTCTGATGTGAAGGGTGGGCTGAGGACTCTGATGTGAAGGGGGGACTGACGGCTCAGATGTGAAGGGGGGACTGAGGACTCTGATGTAAAGGGGGGAGTCAGGGCTCTGATGCGAAGAAGGGACTGAGGACTCTAATGGGAAGGGGTGAAGTGAAGAGGGCTCCTGATGTGAATTGGGAACTCCGAAGTAAAAGGGAGTTTCTAATGTAAAGGAGGGCCTCTGATGTGAAAGGGGAACTCCTTATGTCAACAGGGCTTCTGAGGCGAAGGGGGGGACTTGTGATGTGAAGAGGGGACTCTGATGTGAAGGGATGCTCCTGATTTGAAGAGGGGCTTTGAAGTGGGAAACTCCACTTTTTGTGCATTTTTGCATGCCCCCCCCTCCCCCTAAAATCTTTTACATTATATACTGGGGCGCCTGAAGATTGTGTTATGCTTTAAAGGTACCCCAAGTGACACCCTCATTTTGGTGGATGTAGGGGACACAGGAAGGGCCACAAAATGGACCTATAAACACGTTGCATCATCAGAATGATTCACTATACGTTACAGGGGCCCCCTTTTATTTATTTTTTGATTTTGATTCAATTAAAATGCAGCATGCCTACATTTTTTTATCAACACGATTCAATGCACTATTGTGAACGGGGCACATAGACAATTGTTTTTAGAGCATCCTTCCATTGAGTTATTTAATGCAGCTCAATGTACCCGGTGTGAGTGAGCCCCAAGTCTTTGTTTTATTCCTGTTATATCATACAAAGTAAATGTTACAGTTCTTTTGCACAGTGGATAAGCTTTCTTTCCAACCTGAATGTGAAAAATGCATATACTTAGGTGCATAACTTGTAGTACTCAGAAGACAGGTTAGCCCAGCAGATATAAAACTCGTTGGTATACATCATACCTCCTCAGGGCTCTCCTGTGTACAGCTACCCCGAGAAAGCGGATAGATCCATTTCCTGCGGTGTGCTGAGATGTCAAGTTAATGTACAGTCAGACTTCATCTTCATACTGACAGCACATGCTGAGAGCATTCTCAATTTTCTTCCTTTAAAGAGCCAATGTAGGTAAAAATATTGTACCGCTAATAGTATTCAGCATATAGATTCCTTTTTTTTTTTTTTTTTTTAGCTCACATTACATTTCACATGTTTTTTATTTAAATGTTTCTTCACATTTCCATACAGACCAAGCTATCCAGCAAAATGACAGTTATCGCGGTCCCTGGCTTTCACGGCTTAGTTGTGCTGAAGCTGTTTGGCTGGTAGGACGTTAATGGCACACACACACTTTTATGTGTTGCAAGATGGCTTTGAGGTGGACTCAACACTGTCCCTTCACATTTATATGTGGATCCAAGCACAGAGATTAATGCAAAGGCTTCCTTAATCAAACATGAGCATTGATAAACTCAATACACTACAGCATCCTTTTTCAACCAGGGTGCCTTCTGGCTTTGTCAGGGGTGCCTTCAAATTTTTGCACAGTTGTATGCATTGCATGGTGCAGGTGAACCGGCTAATCCAGTGTGGGTGGTATCAGGGACCTTCCCCGGCATTTAGAAGAGGACAGAAGTCTGGCCTCCATCCAGACACGCTCTGTCTCCCACCATCTGCTGGGCTGTGGTGAGAATATAAGGTAGGAACTTAAGATTCTGATGTGAAAGGGGGTTCCTAACGTGAAAAGGGGTCCTAATGTGAAAAGGGGTCCTCATGTGATGAGTGCTCCTGATATGAAGAGGGCTCCTGATGTGAAGAGGGCTCCTGATGTGAAGAGGGCTTCTGATGTGGAGAGGGCTCCTGATGTGGAGAGGGCTCCTGATGTGAAGAGGGCTCCTGATGCGAAGAGGGCTCCTGATTTGGAGAGGGCTCCTGATGTGGAGAGGGCTCCTGATGCGAAGAGGGCTCCTGATGCGAAGAGGGCTCCTGAGGCGAATAGGGCTCCTGATGCGAAGAGGGCTCCTGATGCGAAGATGGCTCCTGATGCGAAGATGGCTCCTGATGCGAAGATGGCTCCTGATGCGAAGAGGGCTCCTGGTGCGAAGAGGGCTCCTGATGCGAAGAGGGCTCCTGATGCGAAGAGGGCTCCTGATGCGAAGGGGGGTGCTTCGGTGACGAGGGGTGGGCTCCTGATGCGAAGAGGGCTCCTGAGGCGAATAGGGCTCCTGATGCGAAGAGGGCTCCTGATGCGAAGATGGCTCCTGATGCGAAGATGGCTCCTGATGCGAAGATGGCTCCTGATGCGAAGAGGGCTCCTGGTGCGAAGAGGGCTCCTGATGCGAAGAGGGCTCCTGATGCGAAGAGCGCTCCTGATGCGAAGAGGGCTCCTGATGTCATGGGGGCTCCTGATGTGAAAAGGGCTCCTCATACGAAGAAGGCTCCTGATGCGAAGAGGGCTCCTGATGCGTGAAGAGGGCTCCTGATGCGAAGAGGGCTCCTGATGCGAAGAGGGCTCCTGATGCGAAGAGGGCTCCTGATGCGAAGAGGGCTCCTGATGCGAAGAGGGCTCCTTATGTGAAAGAGGGCTCCTGAAATGAAGAGGGCTATGATGTGAAGAGGGCTCCTGACATCATGAGGGCTCCTGATGTGAAGGGGGCATCTGAGTAGACGAGAGCTTCTGATGTGATGAGGGCTCCTGACATGAAGGGGGCATCTGAGTAGACGAGAGCTTCTGATGTGATGAGGGCTCCTGACATAAAGAGGGCTAATTATGTGAAAGGAATCCAATGGGAAGGGGGGCTCTTGATTGTAAGGAAAAGCTTCTGATGGGAAAGGGGGGGCGGGGGGAGGGGCTTCTGATGCGAAAGGGCAATACTCTGATGCGGATCGAAAAAATCTAGGCTTTTTTTGTGTGTATTCCCCCTAAAATTTATACCAGACCAGAATAAGGGTCAGGTATAGATTTTGGGGAAACTATGTGTTTTTTTAAAACATTTTTTCAATGTTTTGCCTTGCAAGGCAACAATACAAATGAGGTGCAATAAGTAGGGATGCACCGATACCGATAAAGGCAGTCCCCGGGTTACATACAAGATAGGGACTGTAGGTTTGTACTTAAAGTGACATTAAAGGCAAAAAAATGTTTCCCTCCCCCTCCCCATGTAAATGTTAGCACTTACCTTAAATGATGTCTCTTTTTCCGGTCTTCCTCTTCTTTCCCCCCGTGTTTTCATGTGTCCCTCCAGCGGTGCGACGTCACTCCGATCCAGCGGTGTCTGCATGCGGGTGCACGCGTCCATAGACTTACCTTGCGTCTCTGCTCGTCTCCCGGCCGAGAATCGGAACTGCGCATGCGCCCGCCCCAAGATCCTTTGCGGCCGTACGAGCAGTTCCTGATTCTCGGCGCAGCGATAACGAGGTAAGTTTAAAATGATTTCGCCCGGTTACTTAATGGGACTGCCGGGATCAGTATTTGGTATCGGTGAGTACTGAACAAAAAAATATCTGTACTCGTACTTGATACTGAAAAACAGGTATCGGTGCATCCCTAACAATAAGCTATGGGACTCGTTGGGATGTGTACCTTGAGGCGCAAAAATGCACCTTCGCCTGAGTAGGCAAAAATCCTTGCCCTGGCTTGCATCATCACGGTGCAATTCGTGGGGTTGCGCACCTTAATGACGCAAGTTGAGCACTTCACTTGAGTAAA